TGCTCCCAGTCTACATGGTGAGAAGGGTCGCTCTCTGTGAGAGGACAGCCCTGCCCGGAGGGTGCTCGGCCTGGGGTGGTCCTGTGTTCGTGTCTGCTCACATGCGCCGGTGTGGGTGTGCGGTGTCTGTGCACGAGCGGTGCCCGGTGCCCGGCATGTGCCCATCTGTGTGAGTCTGTGTGCGTGCGTGCCGATGCTGCGAGGAATGCGTGTTTTCGTGCGTCCCTGGTGACGCATGTGTCCATCTCTGCGTTGGTCCTGTGTTCGTGTCTGCTCACATCAGCCGGTGTGGGTGTGCGGTGTCTGTGCACGAGCGGTGCCCGGTGCCCGGCATGTGCCCATCTGTGTGAGTCTGTGTGCGTGCGTGCCGATGCTGCGAGGAATGCGTGTTTTCGTGCGTCCCTGGTGACGCATGTGTCTGCATCTCTGCGGGAGCGTCACGTGTGCTGTGTCCGTGTGTCAGCGTGGTGGCCGGTGGCCGGTGCACACCCCGGCCCGGGGATCCAGTGCCTCTCCCGGCGGCAGCTTCACCCTCAGGGTCAGGGTGACTGAGGCATTTTGTGGCCTTAAAACAGAGAGTCTGGGGTTGGCCCAGGGTGTGCAGGGTCCTTCTCCCCTTCTTCCCTCCAGGTTGGTGTCTGGGGGAGAACGGGGTTCCCGGGACCAGGCAGCTGATGGGGAGCCTCGGCTTTACCGGCCCCTCGGATCTCAGAGCTCCCCCAGGGGTGCCAAGTCAGCCTGAGACCAAGGCCTCTCCTCCCGGGACCGCTCTCCCCACCTGTGCCCTCTGGGGTGGGCCCAGCACGCCTTTCCCACCCATTCCCCTTTCCCCTGTGCTCTCAAAGCGCTGGCCAGGCTGTCAGAGCCGGGAGGGGCCTCAGAAGGTCCAGTTCTTCACGGTGCACGTGAGGAAGCTGAAATTGAGAGGGGCAGGGACTGGCCCAAGGTCACACAGCCAGCTTGGGTGTCGCCAGCCTTGGAAGCCAGGCACCACAGCCCCAAGGTGCCACACCGCTGACCAGGGCTCCTCCCTGGGATCTCCTGACGGAACAGCTATGGGGACCCAGGCTGCAGGTGCTGTCCCTGGGCTCCTGCACTTGGAGAGGCACTGTCCCGAATTCCAGTCTCTCACCCTGGCCGCAGACCTCCCCCTGGGTGCCACATGGAGCCCCCCACCCTCTGTCCACACTGGTGGAAGCTGCTGCTGCCTCTCCCAAGATCCCAGACAGAAGAGACTCATTTCCTGTCCCCTCCCCTGTCCTTTCAAGAGCCTGGCGTAGGGACAGAAGTCAGCATGCTCCCGTGTCCCCATCCTCCGGACTTCCCCCTAAGGACCAGGAGGGCTAGAATCTTTGGTTTTTCCTCTCTGTGGATAGCTCAAGGAGGCAGGGGAGGGGTTTCCCCGAGTCTGTCCTCAGGAACATGACGGTGAACCGGCCCTGGAGAGACCCTGTAGGGCCGCTGCTCGAAGTTGAGTTCTGGGTTCAGGGGAGCCCTTCCTGCTTCCAAAGGCAGGAAGCCTCTTCTCTCTTGTGTCGGTGGTGTGTGTGTGTGTGTGTGTGTGTGTGTGTGCACGCGTGTGTGTGCGTGCATGTGTGTGCGTGTGTGTGCGCGTGTGCAAAAAGACCACTCTTTCCTGGGGATCCTCTGATCCTTAGAACTGGAAGGGACCTCAGATGGGAACATCGAATCCAATGCCCCATTGCACAGGTGAGACAGCTGGGACCCAGAGAGGTGGCGTCTGCCTACCCCTCCCGACCCCCCATGTCACCTGCGCCCAAATGCCCTCTCGGCTGGCACCTTCTCAGCCTCCTCCAGCCACACCATCCCTGTCTCCGCCGGCTCAGCTGGCCCCTCTGCTCCAGTGCTCAGCGCCCTTCCTGCCTCGTGGTGACCCGCTCACCAAGGCCCTTGTCCCCACCCAGAAGGGACAGGGAAGGAGGGGCTGCTCCAACCCAGAGGCCTCAAAGACTTTGGAGAAAAGCCAAAAGCCCTCATGCCCAGGCCCACGTGTCTGACACCCCCTCCAGCTCACCCAGCACCAAGGTAAAAGCACAAGGAGCCCCCTCATTCATGGGTGAAATATATGGGGGTGGTTTTTTAGTCACACGACACTGTCCTCACCCCTCTGCCTTGCTCTCTGTCTCCTCCCCAGCCTCTGTTCCCCACTTGCCCCTCTCTCACCCGCCCAAACCCTCAAATGTAACCTGTAGTTGCGGATGCGGTTGTTTCCATCAATAAAGCTGCAGTGTTCTAGCGCACAGAGTCGGGCTGTGTGTGGGGGCCGGGCAGGAGGGGGAGGCGGGCAGACCCGGCTGGGGTCAGGGCAGGGGCTGGAGGGGCCCTTGGGTTCCCTGGAGCTCTTTCTTCTCGCTGGCGTCCGTCACCGTGGACCCCGCTCTGCGGCCTGGGTAGCGCGGACCTGTGCTTTCATTGCTTCCAATGAACCCTGCGTCCTCTCTAATCTGTCCATTCCCCAAATACCAATCACATGACTCTGCCTTCGCGGAATTTCCTGTTTACTGGGAGAGATGGACGCTAAGCTAATAATTGCACTCCAAACCATGTCGTTATGAATATAATGAGGGCTGGGAAAGAAAATTGGTGCTGGGAAGCGGGTGATTATTTGGGTTGGGGTATTCAGGAGGGAGCTCTGAAAGAGACACTTAAGAGAGACCTGAAGAGTGGTGGGAGCTGGCCTGCTGGGGCGAGGGAATCTTCCAGGCAGAGGGAACAGACTGTGCAAAGGCTCCAGGGAAGAGAAGGGCAGAGAAGAAGGGGTAGGCAGGTGTGAGTGGTTGAAATGCCGTTTTAGTTCTCAGTGCCCAACCCCACTGTCCCTCTTGTGTGCTCAGAGTTGCTGCCCCCAGGATCTCTGTTTTGGCCCCAGAAGCCCTACCCAGTACCCTACCAGCTGCCTCTTCCATTCACCACCAGCCAGCGACCCCCTTGCTCTGAAGTCATTTGATGCCAGCCTTTTCCTTCGTCCCAGACCTCTCAGAAATCTAGGCTTTCAGAGCTGGGAGGTCCTCGAAGGCCATTTATCTCCTTCCTTTACTCTACATTTTCCTTAGGAGAAATACATGGGCTTTCAGAGGGCAGGGTGGGCAGCAGGGGAAGAGGAGGATCTATTCTCTTGCGAGTGTTCCAGGGTAACCTAAGTCAAGGGCCTGCGTGGCCATCACAGTACAAATCACAAGAAATCAGGCAAAGGACAGGAAGAGTCTTCCTTGTTATTTGGTTACAGTGACTCATGCGGGCAGAGTGGATGGTTTCCTGTCCATGTTTCAGATGGGGAAATGGAGGCTCAGAAAGGCGACAAGACCAGG